CAGGAAAAGCTATCTGTCACCAAATTTCCAAGACCATAGCATGTTCAGGACAAAAGATACAAAAACTGTTCTGCTGCAGTACCAAGGTCATCCACCAGGAGTCCCATGTTTGACCTTGACCCTGTCTGACCCATCAACATACCAAATATCATCACAATCCATAAAGGCATTCTGAAGTTGTGCTGACTGCAAATATGCGGAAACACATTGACACAGGCACGCAGACAAACACACACACACACACACACACAGATACACCAAAAACAGTACCTCCACTTTTCATGAGGTAGCAACATGAGCTGCCTTCCTAAAATCGATCACTTTCACTATGGGGCTAATCTTTTTTATGCTCATGAGTTGCTAATTGCATTATCTGTCATCAGTTGCAAAAGCAAGGCAAACAAGATTAGATAGTGTGAAGGGCTAAGAAGAAAATATGATCAGGCTATGGATGGCAATTTATAAGGGACTGTACGATATTTACCAGGGGGAGGGCTGGTGCGTAGGGGGGAGGGCTATGGAAAAAATTTTAGCTTCGGGGGAGGGCCAATCTCGATATGTTTTAAGTTTTTCCAAAAAAATCTAGAGATTTTTTGCTGGCTGCTTTTAAATTAGTCAACTGCCGATTCTTAATATCGATTGTACGAATGAAGGTACATTTAGATTCAAAGGCCGAGAGCGTAGAGTTGAAATACACTTCCATAAAACTAACGATGCTGCAGGCAAGTATTAATTTTTTTTTCTTTGAGTGACAATATACAATCATGTATTACGTGAAAATTTCCTTCGAGATCATTACATTCAATGCATCATACATGTATGTAAGCACATCTAAACCCTCAGAAGATGGGAAACAACAGACACTAAACCAGATAGTGAGTGTAAGTGAGTAAGAGAGCATGTTACGCAATATAATGTAAAATATACATAATGTAATACAATATATTATATAAAATGGCACCGGCTGGGTCACTTTGTATCAAAGGGGCATTCTATTGTAAAATGGAGGGAAATTTTCCTGCGGTTTTGTCACCATCCTTTATGGATAAGAGGACAATGTGTCTAAGGCCCACTTTAGACTAGAAAAGATATACCACTCCGAAACCCCTCGAAACCCTTTGCCACTGGTAACAGTTTCTCTTTAGACATGGGTTGAAGGACCACCTGTGGTGTTTGCGGGTCAAAATGATCCAAAATGGCGGCAGAAGAGATATTTTGTCTTGCAACACAAGTTAATGTTTTTACTCTTTGCTACACATATTTTCTTGCATTGTGACGTCGAATACTCGTCCAACAATGGAGACTGACGGGTCATGTACTGGGACAAGCAATTCCCGGGCTTGAACATGGCTTTCTTCCTTGTCATGGTGGTAGTATCACAGGCACGATAGTGCTCCAGACCCTTCACTAGCCTTTTGCCGATTCCTTTTTCAGGTAGGGAGGGACATGGCATACCTACCCTGGAAGTAATAGCTAGTAGTACGTAGAATGAAGTAAAGAATGACACGAGCATGAGAATATACAAGCACAGGCTTCTTAGCACATCATTAGCATATGGCCCATGCTGTTTTGCAAAACCCTTTCTCTTTAGACCTAGCAGGAAGGATTTCAGGCCCCCTTCTAAAGGGTTTCAAAACCATGGTGTACGTGGTTTCGGAAATTTCCTAAAACCTCATAAAACACCGTTTTTTCATCTTTAGACTGGGAACAGATAACCCATCGGAAATGTTTTTCCACCCTGAAGTCCTTTAAGCGTTTCTAGTGTAAAGTGGGTCTAATAAGAAGACACTTTTCCTGGGTCCCTTGGGTGGTCGTCTTAGACAAGTATATCTAGTTTGTGTGGTGATGCTGACACCAAGTTTGTTGTTACATCAATGGAGGTTCCCGTGATCTGCAATTTAAAGTCCTGCAAAATGTGATAAAACATCATGCATTAAAACATAAGCAAAAGCTGTGCTGCACTTATAGCTTTTCGTGTGGTAATGCCTTGTAGCAACATGGCATGTTGCGGGCAGAACGTTATATATATTGTTTGTATACATCAATTATTTGTCATTATTTGCATATTTGTAATGTGTAATTCCATGAGTGATGGCAATGTCATGCTTATATATGACATGTAAGGTAGCTAAAGGCAAATGTCATCAGCTACCTACCTAATCCCTCAACCGACCTGGTCGTCGGGGGGACAAGGCAGAGTTTCCCTCCGGTCCGCCGCAGCCAGCAGCTCCGGGACGTTTAGTGATGTCCATTCCTTTATGTTGTCCAACCAAGTTTTCCTTTGTCGCCCCCGTTTGCGACCTCCCTCGAGCGTACCTTGGAGGATTGTTTTAGCCAGGCTGGTGTATAGATTATAGATTATAGCTATAGATTACTAATTCATGTAAATGTGGACATTGTTTAAATGATAAATGACGAATAATATTGTGCCAAAGGATAAAAGTTTAGAGTCTAGCAAATAAATTGACTATAGTTAGGGTAATTTAGAGAGCCTATCAATGGACTTAAATTATGCTAATTATAATCTTATTTGCATAAGCAAGATGAAGACAGATGGAAGCATTCCTGGCTGGACCTTTAATAATTGAGTAGAAAGGAGGGATAAGTCATTTTGGCCGTGTCTATACGGAATCACCCAAACCGCGATTCGGGTAACTCACATTCCTCACATCTGGTCCACGTGCCACACACACCTTTGAAACCGTGTCCGAACATAATGCGCTTGAGCTACATTTATTGCTGTTTGATGATAACACGCAAGGCGGCGTGTTATTAATGTCAGAGGTCAACGACCTGCTTGCTGATGCCCCCCTCCCAGCGTATCTCGGCCGAATGCCGACGTGGTCTCGCCAGAGGAGGTGAAGCTCGCCCTAGAACGGACACATTATTTGACCATTACTGCTCTTTAAGTTGCTGCCACGTAAAATTTGGTATTGCATATAAAAAAAGAAATATCACTCCGTAATCCATGACCAGGCGAAGTCACATTGAAATCACATTGCGTTCAGACGCAAATCGCGATGCGGGGAAACCGATTCGAAACCACCTCTAGAAGTGGCTTGGGATCGAGGCGCTTTCAATGTGATTTCGGAGCGTTCACATGGAGCCACTTGAAACCGGCTTCGGGGTAAACCACATGTAAACCGCCTTGGGTAATTCCGTTTAGACACGGCCTTTGTCCTAACCGTCACACATGCATTAGAATGATCATTACACACTAATCTAATAGCTCAGGGAATTTTCTTCATCATACCGGTAATTGTCTGTGTGTGTACATGTACATGCGTTTGTGTGTATATATCATATTTACATTGTATACAGTATGTGTCCATGGGTGTGTGTGTGTTTGCATTTACATGTGTATCTGTGTGTAATACAAAAATTGTGTTTGTGCATGTCTTTTTGTGAGTATGTGTGTACATTTTATTTTAGGCTACACCAATTTAATTTCTTTGTTAACAGATTATAGGAAATAATGGAGCGGGCAGGCAAAAAAATAAAAAAATAAAAACAGACCTAGGCATTCTATTATGGCCCAAAATGGTATGATAGGAGCCATGAAGTCAACCCACCAGGCTGGTTCAAAATTTAAATGAATTTTGAACTTTTAATGATACTACTGCATTGAAAGATGGAATAACTGCAACAAGTAGGAAGAAAAGGACTGTTTTCAACTGTTCAGGGCAAACTATGAGCATTTTGCGATTGATTGACTGATTTTTTTTGCAAATCAGAAAAAAATGAAGCGGGCGAATCCGTTAACCAAGAAATTAAATTGGTGTGGCCCTAGTGTATATTTGTTATTTGTTTGTGACTTTGATTGTGTGTTGTGTGTGTGTGTGTGTCTTTGTATGACAGTGTCTTTGTGTGTGTACATTGTAAGTGTGAGAGTGTACCGCTGCAATATCATTACAAGCCACCAGGGGTCCCAAAATCTAATCATTTCAATGTCTCATCATGTTATCACCAGTTTGCCTCAACTGCTGGATGATGTTATCAGTATTGTTCGTCCTAAATTGTTCCATGTGCCAATCTCCCCACATGCATTTACAGCATTTGACATTAGAACATCTCGACTTGGAAACCATTTATGCATCGGTCATGTTGTGAGGCGAACCTCTTTAAGGAGGTGTATCCAAGGTTCCCATATACCAAATTTCAGGTCATTTAGATGTAATACCAGGGCTCCAGATCCCAAAATGTACATTTTTGCCTGAAAATGACCAACAAAAACATCGCAAATTAGCATGCGATGTTTTATATTCTGGTAAACATGATTGGCTTAACCACGTAAATGATATTCTAAAATTAAACGATCTTTAGTTGTAGAAGGCCATACAAAAGTCCCTGTTCTTTTTTGTTGTGTCAATAGAGAATCTCTATTAATAAAAAATCTAAAAAGCCTGTTTCCGTAAAATGGAAAATGCCTGGGGGTATTTGGCCACCGTCCTGCCAAATTGTATGTCGTTTGGCCCCAAAATGAAGAAATTGAATCCATTTAACGAAATGGCAGGAGAAGGAGTTACATGTGGAGAAGTAACACGCGGGAAAACAATTTCTTAACCACACCACTATACATGCTGTGGATGAAGCCATAATAATCTTGTGTCAAAGCTAATGATTAGTTTTAATGGGCCCCAGCTGCAATGTTGTACCAGTGTACATGTATATGTAGGGGGGCTGCAATATATTTAAGTTGCTCATATGCATTTAATCCCAGTGGACTTTCAAAGGGCACAAGGGTAGGCCAGCGTCATTTAGTGTACTGTTAGGAATATGCATGGTTTTATTTATAACACTGGAATTATTTGACCCGATAACTCTAATTAGACAGCTACTACTACTACTAATACTAGACACATCACCTTGTTCTGACATCTTGAAAATTACCAGAACAATGGATTTTTGAGGAATTGTATTGATTGAAAAATGAATGAAAGTAGTAACTCAACATGGAAGGCATGATACTTAATATGTGTTGTTGTTTTTTTTTGGTGCAGGTGACATGTTTACAAGACTTCTTTGAGGATGACGACATCTTTGTTGCATATGGACCTGAGAAATACTCCTCTGATGACTTTGATTTGGAGGGTGATGGTAAGTGAACAGTGCACACACCAATTCTTCCGCGACAGGGGTCCATGCTAGTTCGTCGTAAAAAAGGGTACAAAGGGGTTTCGATGGTTCATGTTTGAGTTCACATTTGTTATAAATGGCATTAACTACTACATGTAACATAGCTGAAAAGTGTAGTGTAAGAAGTGGCTTGTTTTTGGTGAAGATTTGATTTCGGGCCCGAGGCTTACTTCCAGATGTCCTTCCTCATTAAGTGTGGTGCTTCGGTTTGACTAATATTTGCCTTTCATGCATTCTGGTGGTGCTGTCGCTATGCCTTGTGCGACAGGCTATTGTGAAAATGTCAGTGTTAGGATTTTCTCTATATTTTTCTTGAGAATATAAGTCATTTTGGTGGCTTGAGTCTGCATGTGTGTCTGTCTGTCTGTAAAAGCGATAACTTAAGAAGGCTTAATATGGAAATATGTATGTAATTTGAATAATTTATGACAAAATTCTATAAATCTGCTGCATTACATTATAGGACTATTCAAGCTTATGACATATGTAATTGAGAACGAAACACAGGCAGATGTGATTATGTAAATGAAGACCTAATTTGCATAATTAATGAGAAAATGTTATACTTCCATAATGGTAACTGCCTGGAATTTCATACTTGAGGTATTTGAAAGTTAAGTAAAGGGGAACATCATTAAACATAACTTATTCAAATAAGGGCCTAATTTGCATAATTTATGAGGAAATGATAGAATTGCTTTCTTTGTTAAGATATTATATATAAGAATTGCTTTCTCCATCTTTTGGTGGAGAATATGATCAACTGATATAATTGATGCAAATGAGGATCCTATTTTCCCATAATCAGGAGGAATAATCTTTGTCAGTCATAAAGGTTAACATCATTTGGTGAAGGTATGAGATCGTGGAACTCTAGTTGCACTTTTGGCCAATTTTGGGCATCATTTTCCATCAAAAACCTTTTCCCCTCTAAAGTTTACTAAAATTTGAGAGGTTTAAGAAATTTAAATTCTATTGTTCTCGTAGTTAAAGGGATATCCTTCATTTGCAAACACAGTGTTTTGGCTATGAGTTAGAGTTAGAGTCGCTAGATTTCAGGGTGTGCAGAATCAAATTGAGACCCAAAATAAACTGTGGTGTGCCCCCTAAACAATATTTCATGCTGCGAAGTGTTACATTAAAGGCATTATGCAATTTCAGGGTAGCAAGACGAAATTTAGTCAAAATATTCTGGATGAGGACATCAGTCTGATAATGACAGTTACTGACATTTCTTAGCACATTTTTGTCATCATAATTATTATCATTCCATTTGTGCCTCACAAGTTTGGTTTGGTAGCAGGTATGCTATGGGATACGACTGATTCAGCTTACTACATGAAAAGAATAGTGAAAAAAATTGATTTTGGAAATCCTGTTTTGCCACTCCAAAATTTCCTTGGATGCCTTTCAATTTTTTTTATGTTGTGTAAGTTAACAGTAGCAGCTATGCTTCACATGATTATATGATTGTTTGATATTTGATTATGGTTTTAAAATTTGTGCCATTGGTACTTCCTTTACCTGCAACTTAAGGTCTCCAAATACCCACCCACAATCAGCAATTTACAGGAAAAAAGGTGACATGACGAATGTGAACTTCCGTTAATCTCTTTCTTCTTGCTCCAAAACAGATTGAATCGAATATTGGCAGCCATTGTTACAACCCAGTGAGCACCGCTATGATTTCTTCCTGTCAACACCACTGTCTTGGTTGAAGTTGTTGTATATTCATGTAGATATGCTATCATGATAATCATAATCATTATGACATTTGTACAGTAACAACAAGACCAGAAGTGTTGATGATGTTCTTGTCCATACAGAACTGAAGGTGGTGAGTCCATACAAGTCTGTGGACAGAGGCAAGAGAGTTGGACTGAAAAGTCCATCACTGAGGAGAAGAACTCCAGGTACCCCTGACTGTGAGTACTTCATAACTCCAGGTATTCCTTGACAACTAATAGACCATCTTCACTGAGGAAAAAGTACCAAATTGATAACATGGGTGTGGTTACAGTTTCCCTTGCATTTGATTAGCTTTGTCCTTACAAAAATATTGATCACTTGAAGCTGCTACGGCAATTCCCTTGCCAAATGTCCAGGGGGTTTACCAATAAGATGAATCAGTCTAGGAATAGTTTATTATTATATCTTTTATCGTGGGAGATTTTTCATATCAGCAGGAAATATTTCAAAAAGTCACCTTTCTAAAGATTTTTGCCACCCATATATTAGGTTGTTGGTTGAGCCCTGGCACTACGTCACGGGTCAACACATGACCCTGTCTGCCATATTTTGTTCATTCAAGAAACACCTCAATTAAAGTTGTGCTTGGTTACGCATGGAAGTTGCTGTCTGGAGTTTTCCCTTTGCGGTCTAATTTGTTGCTCTGTTCCCTGACACCAGCCAATGGGATGCCACCATCTCCTTCCTCCGCCCGACGAGGGTCTCGCCCTAAGAGCCCAGGACCGTCTTCTCCACACACCCCTCGGAAGTTCAGTGTGCCAAGACCCAAGTCTCCGGGGACTGCCAGAAAGGTCAGTTAAAATGCATGTAGCCAGATTGCCCTGCAGCACGCACCGCACGTCAGAGGCAGGCCTGCTTACATGATCAAAAAATCTGAACTACAACATGTGCATCAATTATTTTAGGACACATTTTTTTGCTTGTGTAAACTGGCTCCAACATTAGACTGCCAGAATGGCACCCTGTATACTATCCTGACTTCTAAAAGCTTAAAACTTTCCTCAGTCTGTAGTACATGTATCAGCAATTGATTAAGCCATGTACATCATGTTTCAAGGACTTAATGTAGCGAGGACATGTTTGTCACAAGCCTTAAGTATGAAGGGTGTATGAGAGTGTATATGAGAGATAAACCGTAAGTTAGTGTTTTCAGTTTGTTTAAATCAAATTCTGGGTGTAGTTAATTGACACATAGGATGTTGCACTTGAACTGCCTTTTCTCTACCTCCATAACCAAGAGACTTGATGCAAAAAATGGCTAATTAAGCAGGGCGGAGGTTGATACAAATGTGAGATCAGACCTTACAAAGTACCTTATGTTTCAGTCTCCCATCAGTCCAAGGCCAGGAGACAGCAATGGTGAACGTGACAGTGGTAAGTGTCACAAGGAAAGATCTTATAGACGGATCTCCTTACATATGTGTGTATGATTGCAGATTTCATCACTTTCTCTTCAGGACATGTGTTGATTGATATTAAGAAGAAGAATTTTCATGCATCTTTGTGTCATGTCTTTACATTACAATCATAATAAATTTGATTTTGTTATTCATTATATGTTTGATTAGTGTAAAATTAGGGGTCAAGTTTATAAATTTACGGAAAAAGAAACATGTATGTGCAGTGATAAAATCCCTTCAGATGGCCCTAAATTAGGCTAAAAGGTTGTTAACAAACATAATGTTTCAATTAACCACAGAAAACAGCTTGCCAGAAAAGAACATTCCTGTTCGTCTGGGGCAGAAGTATGTGATTGGGAAGGTGATAGGAGATGGCAATTTTGCAGTGGTGAGAGAATGTGTGCACAGGTATGTTACAATCATTGTGACGCTCCCGCAGAACACAGATCCAATATTGATGATAATATTGTTACAGTACATGGTGCCCGTTATCAGCTGGGGCTGCCTGGGCAACCACTGTATTATGCAATCGTCATTGTATTGTATTGCAATTTTGAATAAGTAAAAATAAAAATATTGTTACAGTAGTAGAAATTTAGTATAACATCTGTCTGTCAATCCTTCCATCCATTCATCCATGTATCCATCAATCCTTCCATCCATCCATCCCCCCATTCATCCATCCTTCCATCCAACCATCCATCCATCCAACCATCCCCCCATTCATCCATCCATCCATCCATCTACATACATACATACATACCTACATATCTGGTTTGTCTTCTTGTGGGGGTTACAAAATGTAGATATCTTGAAAATGTTTGAATGTATGAATTGTGTTTGTGTACTGAGACTTTTTCCACCTCTAAGACAGTCACATCATATTCTGTTGTAGTGATGTGACCTCTAGAAACAGAAAAATTCAATAACCATATGGAAACATAACTTTTGCTTCACAAATTTTCAGGTCATCACAACATGAGTACGCACTTAAGATGATCAACAAGGAGAAGTGCAGAGGGAAAGTGAGTTGTTACCTCCATGAAAAATGGAGGTATTGTTTTTGATATCTGCGTGTGTTTGTGCATGTGTATGTCTGTGTACGTGTGGGTACCTTGATCTGTCTTGGTAGGGCAATAGGTTGCTTTAGTCATTATTATCATATAGCCAGATGTCATCAACCAATCAGAAGGCTCCATTTCCCTCATAACCCAGTTCATTAATACCCGATATACTGAGCCACAAATACACATTCTGTTTGAATGACTTAAGAACAGAGGTAGACGTTACCATTACATGACAGGGCGGTGTTTTCTTCTAACTTACTTCTAATGCTTAAGAACTTTCTGATATACTCAGAATTGTTTATGTAGAGTTGTAGATGAATTCGGTTGTAACAAGAAGCCATAGGCGACAATCCTCCGTGAAGTTTTATATATTTCAACAAAATCCCGAGCGTCAACGCCAGACCTACTGTGCAGACATTATAATTAGGCAACAGTTAATACAATGAGGGCGCGTCACAAGCATAAAACATACAAAGAGCTAAATCCATTACTGCTCCCAGGGCGTGTAAAGATACTGTGCTTCAAGTTCGAAGTTCATTTTAATTACACACACACAATCATTGCATTCACATAAAGATCGGACTATCATGGTCGTGTCTAGTAACAAAGACAGCCCCACCGTCTTACCGTGCCTGTACCTAATTAAGCGCGCCTGGAACAGGCCAAATTCCAGCAACAGTTGCGGTAAGCACCGCGAGTGTTACTGCCGCCGGCCAGATAACCAGGATATCTGCCTAGAGTACCTCTGCTACCAGACAACTGCCTAAACCTACGGCCTATTCCACAGGATTGTAAAAGTAGGGATGTTTCTAAAATATGCATTTACTTCAATATCAAAACAGCTACGGTAAAAATAAAAGACGTGCATCATCCCGGACATAATGCCACACCACATGCGAAATTACACAGAAATGCGACGTACGGAAGAATGCGTTTTGGCTGCGAACATCTTCCAAAAAACTTGGCATCTCTTAAGCATGGGCAAAAACATCTGGAACCACTTATCAAAACCACCACGTATCTGCATGAAGTTCCACCCCCCCACTGCTATTCCAAACAACGCGTTTTTCTGGACCATTCCAATTCGCCTCGTAATTGTAGGGGTGCGTCTGCAATATTACACTGACCGCGAAAGCAGCAACGGCAAAAATACACATTCGTGCATCAACACGGGCATGCCCGCAGACGGCGTATAAAATTGCGTGCCGATTACACAAAGAGAACCCAGTGTTTTGNATGTTCTTGAAACCTGGCTTTAAACTTTTTAACTCTAAACTAAACAAGAAGCCATAGGTGACAATCCTCCGTGAAGTTTTATATATTTCAACAAAACAATCCCAAGCGTCAACGCCAGACCTACTGTGCAGACATTATAATTAGGCAACAGTTAATACAATGAGGGCGCGTCACAAGCATAAAACATACAAAGAGCTAAATCCATTACTGCTCCCAGGGCGTGTAAAGATACTGTGCTTCAAGTTCGAAGTTCATTTTAATTACACACACACAATCATTGCATTCACATAAAGATCGGACTATCATGGTCGTGTCTAGTAACAAAGACAGCCCCACCGTCTTACCGTGCCTGTACCTAATTAAGCGCGCCTGGAACAGGCCAAATTCCAGCAACAGTTGCGGTAAGCACCGCGAGTGTTACTGCCGCCGGCCAGATAACCAGGATATCTGCCTAGAGTACCTCTGCTACCAGACAACTGCCTAAACCTACGGCCTATTCCACAGGATTGTAAAAGTAGGGATGTTTCTAAAATATGCATTTACTTCAATATCAAAACAGCTACGGTAAAAATAAAAAGACGTGCATCATCCCGGACATAATGCCACACCACATGCGAAATTACACAGAAATGCGACGTACGGAAGAATGCGTTTTGGCTGCGAACATCTTCCAAAAAACTTGGCATCTCTTAAGCATGGGCAAAAACATCTGGAACCACTTATCAAAACCACCACGTATCTGCATGAAGTTCCACCCCCCCACTGCTATTCCAAACAACGCGTTTTTCTGGACCATTCCAATTCGCCTCGTAATTGTAGGGGTGCGTCTGCAATATTACACTGACCGCGAAAGCAGCAACGGCAAAAATACACATTCGTGCATCAACACGGGCATGCCCGCAGACGGCGTATAAAATTGCGTGCCGATTACACAAAGAGAACCCAGTGTTTTGACTGCGAACATGAAAAATCAGCCGATCACAACACTCCATCCGGAGGTCCTGACCTCCTTCATGGAGGGTAATAAAACTAATGGGAGGGGTCCTAAGTCCGGCATAGTTTTAAAGATTATTATTATCATGTTATGCATGGGTGAATCCACACAATAAAAACAACTAGTTATGGAGTAAGACTTTATGTAAAAAAATAACAAAGTCGGAAAGTTTGTCGAAGTTTATTGCTCAAACTGCTAGCGATTTAAATATTTGTTTGAATTTATTGCTTTTCGCGGAGGTTGACCAGGGAACGTGTCCAGCACATAGCCTTCAGAACTGTCAAATCATTCATCCTAGAGTGCGACATGTGCAAAGATTTTACCACACACATGAAAGGTGATCATTATATTTTCCATAGAAAACACACCATGGCTTGACATTGTCTTTATCCTTGGAAAATCGAAGCTAAAATAACGGGCAAATGTTTACGCCTAGGAGCCCGCCATCTTTACTGAGCCGCTACAAACAGGCAGCCAGGCAACGCAACAGAATGAAGTTTGTCAACTCGTCGGTAGAGCGCCGACTATTCCCCAAAATCAAACCCTACCTGTTAAAAAAAAACGTAGCCTCTACTTCTGCCAAAAATAAGGCTGAAAAGACAATCAAGGCAACCGAAAGGGGATATATGTGAAATGAAATATATGTCTGTACAGCTTAAATCACTGATACATGTATATTGCTGTTTGAAGATCTAACCTTATTTTTGACAGGTTTAGGGTCAGATGTACTGTACAGTAACAAAATATGTGCGTCAACACGTACAACAGTTGCTGGACTTAGGACCCCTCTCGTTAAATACAATTAAAATTAGCTGCAAATTCAGGAAAAATAGCATAATTCATAAATAGTACTTTTTACTTGACCCTCCTATTCTACACTTTTCATAACAGCCAACATTTGGGCCGCTTGGTCACATTGCTTTTGCTCCTAACATAAAAATGGCTGATGGACTGCAATTTCTTGCCGAGTTGTCATCAGATGAAATAGAAGCATTGTTAGGGGCAATTGCAGAGGTGAATTTGGACAAAAGTGGTGGAGAAACAGTTGAGGAAATTCAGCGGTAAATTCAGCGCAATCAGCCGTAAATTCAGTTTGTACCTGTAACTTTCAGTTTTAAAAAATTGGTTTGTTGTGATGAGGATTCACTTCAATGCAAGATAAAAAGATTTACATGTTACTCAGGGGTTGTTTTCCTTTTGTGTCACTTTGATATACATGCATACATGATAATGTCTATATGATAATTACGTTAATTACTCGGTCATTTATTCTGTGGTTATAGGACCGACTGTGAATTATGACACCGTATACCTCAGGGCGGGTCATTAAAGGAGTCCAGAAGGAAGTGCTATTTTCCGATACATCATGCTAGAATGAATACATAACTAGCCGACTTTTTACATAATTTCGCTCGTACGACTTGTGCGGCGCATGTTTGTTAAGTGATATTGATATCATTTTCCCCCATGCTGAACCACAATTGATACATCCGGGAACTCTGGCTTACGCAATACTCATACACTTCAGGTCAACATAAACATTTTTCAGGAAAATGGTAGGAGACAATCACACTAACAAGCTGATTATTGAGAAATTATTTGCTTTACTTTGCTTGACCTGTGGCTTGGATATTATAATATCAGGATGTCGAATACAGATTTTCTCAACTTATTTGCATGTAAGTATTACTTGAACAGATAATTAGATTACGCCACTTATGGAAAGGATAACTAGATTACGCCGTTTTTTTCATCGTCAATATTTGCGGCATAAATGAGGGGCGATAAGGACTTTAAGAAGGGCAATGATTGGTAAGATACCAAAGAACACAAAACGGTACGAATTTTTCTTATGGCCCCCGAAATGAGGTCTGTAACGTAACTTTTTGTTTAAAAGATAGACACCAATGGGGTAGCGTGGTGTATTCTGGGATAGTTTTGAGGGTATTTGGAGAGTTTGTCCTGGATTCAGTGCGTTTTAAGAGTTACGCGCAAAATGGGCATTTAATTATATGCTGTAAAATAATATGCATTTTTCACTTCCAAAAATAAATGCCTGTCGAAATATAGCACCCCCTTCTGGAGGTTAGTACTCCTTTAACCCTATATTAATGACTCATTGGTGACTTGACTGTTTTCTTCAACTTTAACAGCTGCTGCTAGGAGTCATGCCAAGTTCTCAGATGTCTAATGAGAAATATTGTACACAGTTGTGCATACCATAAAAGGTCCTGTTCCTCTCTGTGCAGAGCATAGGGGTGGTGCCCATCTCCATTTCTGTAGCCCTTGGGCCACACAGTTTTGCAAGCACTACAGCAGGGGGCTAGCCTTCTGTTAGTGTTGTACATTTGACCTTCCATACTCTCTCTCATAGATGTTGAGTGCTAAGCAAAGAAAGCAGTATGTACCATTTTTAAAGTCTTTGGTACGACCCGGCCAGGGTTCGAACTCCAAGTTACAAAGCGAGCACTTGATTTAGCTATTGCACCAGTAGTTCATGCACACCATGTAAAGCAATCAATGCTTTCTGTCTGTCCCTTCCACAGGAACAGATGATTGCCAATGAAGTGGCCATTTTACGTGTTGTAAAGCACCCTAACATCATCCTGCTGCTGGAGGAATATAACACGCCTACAGATCTGTATCTGATCATGGAACTCGTCAAGGTCAGAACTTACCTTTACAAAGATAATGTGACTCACAAGGTAACTCACAATCCTTTGTTGCATTCATGGTATGTGCACTTTTTTATACTGTAGTGTTTTTAAAGGTAATACATTTCAGAAAATACCTCTATTAATTTTTGATTATCTTCTGGAACAGGTCATCAATTTCAATGCAATACAATCCTTTTATTTATCCTTCATCTTTATAAGGCAACATAATTACAACAACACAATTACCATTTACTGATTTAGATTAAAAACAATCCAAATTGCACAAATATTACTACTTGAACAGTTCCTTGCAACCAGTTTTAAAGGAGTTTAAGGATTGGGCAGTCTGCAAGGCCAGTGGCAACTGATTCTACGTTTTGACAACTCTATGCATGAAAGACTTTTCAAGGAATTTGTTGTGGGTTTAACTAGTGCAATGACGGCCAAGAAGCAAAGGGAGTTCTGTGATTGTGTTGCATGGGTTACTATAATGCTTCGTTTGTGAGAACAAATTCTCCTGAATGCTGTCTTAGTGTACACTAACACTCTAGTGTTCACTCAAGAGGGCACACCCAAGTTTTTTTCATTAATGTTTTGCTTTATTGATGGTTCTTATATTTACATGTATTATTTCAGCATAGATATCTCAGTAGGACCCTCTAAGCAGCTGATATGTAAATTGTACCTGTCCTTGTTGTTGAACAATGTATCAGCTGTGCACACTACTGTCCTTGGTGCTGCACAATGTATCAGCTGTGCACAATGTACTGCCCTGTCCTTGGTGCTGAACAGTGTATCAGCTATGTACACTGTACTGTCCTTGCTGAACAATGTATCAGCTATGTACACTGTACTGTCCTTGCTGAACAATGTATCAGCTATGTACACTGTACTGTCCTTGCTGAACAATGTATCAGCTATGTACACTGTACTGTCCTTGCTGAACAATGTATCAGCTGTGCACACTGTACTGTCCTGTCCTTGGTGCTGAACAATATGACTACCATTGGTCCCTCTAGCTACAGCATTTCAGAGTTTGCTTGAAAGTTGTTCTGAAAAATTGGACTGTCTATCAATGCCATGAGATATACCGCTGGACTGTATATCACGAAATCTGTACTGTATATTAAATTCTGTTCTGCATGACAGGGAAATATAGGTCTGACCCTCAGATACTAGTTCGAAGATGGTGCTACATCTAGACAGGGATGCAGCCATGAATTCTTTACATGGTATGCCAAATGTGATCATTATATTACTATATTTCGCAGGGAGGAGATTTGTTTGATGCCATAGCCACAGCCACTAAGTACACAGAGAGAGATGCCAGTGGGATGGTCTACAACTTGGCCAGTGCCATGAAGTATCTGCACTCCCTAAGCATTGTACACAGGGACATCAAACCAGAAAACCTACTGGTAAATTCATTTGTTAGCACAACAATTGTACAGGTTTCAAAGTATGACATCTACTAACTTAAGTACAAAACTACATTTTCATAAGGCTAACCCAACTAAAACAAGAGTGGGTGGCTAGTATGGGATAGGTATGAACTTTTACAATCATTGGGAGAATTTCTAATATATATACTATATCCCTATATAGATATACAGATATCCCTATAGAGATTTGTTTACATGTAGATACAACAGGTGTACAAAATTGAAGTAAAGCAAAACATTGAATTTTGAAGTAATGTCATTGCCATGCATGGTAATATGTGATACATCTAATAATACTATATGATAATGTCAGTGAGAGTAATTTCGATTCAATCCCAACTTTCAGAAAAGCCAGATGAGAAGTTGCAATTTTTTTGGAGAAAAATTGTATGTCCAGACCCTTTTTGATTGAAGTTTGCAAGATTTTATCTTTACCAAGGAATCAAACCCTACATGTAACTTCTTTGAGCTAAATCAACCAAAGATCTCCAAACTACTGTAATGGGGGGATGCCCTAACTTCGGACATATTTTTTACTGATCTTATCATACAAAAGTGTGCCGTGTTTGTTGCCACTAACTTTGCTAATCAAAAAGGCAAGAAAACTAAAATATTTTTAAAATTCTATTCTACTTTTTGTTTACTTAATTTCATCATTAATGCCTGAAGAGAGCAAAAGTTACAAAAGCGTCCAAAGGTAGGGCACACTGTCTAGCGTAGCCGCATTCACAAAGGTACATTCACAAAAATGTCTCACAGAGTTTGTCACTTGTAACGCGGAGTGTAAAAGGCCCATGAATAGAATGAATGCGTTTCTTATCCAAGCACATTTGTATGTTTTTAGTATTAATGCTCTCAAAATCCATTCATCAAAACCTGACCACCCTCTGACAACTAGCAATAGAGTGCCGTTCATTCAAGTGCGTAAAGTAGGGTCTGATGTTAGGGCACCCCCCATTATATTATTAAGCGTTCAATTTTTCTCAGCTGAAATCCAAACTTTCAGATGTGTGGGATTGTCAACATTTAAGTATGGTGAATGTTTAATCATTTCATTGATGACTGGGCCAAGAAAACATTGAAGCTGCTTTCTTGTAAAAACCAGAGTGCAGAGATATCTTTTTCCTCCTGGGTTCTTCATTTCCTCCCCAATACTTATGCTTCTTTATTTTCCATCCCCACTCCCTATTTCTTTCCTATTCTTTCCGACATTCCAAGAAAGAAGTCAAACTGCCAGGCTTGAAGTAGAGATGGTCCAAATTTTGCCCCTTTTTTAAATCAGGCTGATTTACGTGCAGGAAAAATTTGATGTATGCATGTTACATGCAGATTTCATCACTTGCATGCATATGTGGTTTTCGTGTAAATCAGGTCCCTATCTAATAGTCCAGAAAAGTCCAGAAAAGCCCAGAAAAGCTGTTTTACATCACTGTCTGGTATAAGCTGTTCTACAACCATAGTTTAATGCTAACTTATTTGTCAGGTATGTGAGCATGAGGATGGGAGCAAGTCTTTGAAGCTTGGGGACTTTGGCCTGGCCACTGTTGTAAAAGAGCCATTGTTCACTGTTTGCGGTACCCCAACATATGTGTCACCAGAGATCATCGCAGAAATCGGGTGAGTATCTTCATTCTATTACAGCTGCGTACCTAAAGGTAACATCAGGTACAGGTACAGGTACTGGTATAAAGAGGTTTAGGTATCTGGACATGTACCTGTACCTGAACACTGTGACAAAATTATGTACTTCTTCAATAATGATAGAAACATTATTTGGTAAATGATAAAACAGGACAGATCTAGGCAGCCTTATGTCTTTAACAAAGCAGTTCAACCATGTGGATTGTTTCTTGTTGCATTCCTAGTTTCCACAACACTATTATAATAGCTGCCCCTGAAAGACATGTTGCATATCAGTTATGCTCTGTCTAGATGTCACTGGTCTCCTCTGTGTCACATGAATCCTCTTAGGGCATATTACACTTTATACTGGTACAGTACTGGTCCATATTTTGCTCGATTTGTGCCACATGGGCTACATGTTGAAATTATAGTTTTTCAACAAAACTAGGTGACTATGTAGTACATGATATTTTGAATGCGGATGATGGGTTAATTTACCTTTCTAATCTGCATATTTGATGACAAACATAAATATATTAGTCAGAAAAATCTGTCTGAAGTCAAGGAACATCTCAAGTTATGGCATCCCTTTTTTAAAATCAAAATCAAGATTGTGACTGTTGTGTATTAGGTACGGTTTGAAGGTGGATGTTTGGGCAGCAGGAGTCATCACCTACATCCTGCTGTGTGGATTCCCGCCGTTCAGAAGGTACAGTTATCTGTGCGTGATAGATAACATGTAGCATGTCTGCGTCTGTGCACTGTTTCTGTTGGATGCTTAGTCAACATTGTGTCAGAAGTTTACCCGTTGCAGATGACATCTCTTCCAACACAACATTTGAAAACTATAGACAGGATGTCATCCTTAAATGTGCGAATACAACCTTAAGCAAGACATTGTGCCAAAGCGCTATGTACAATACATTACAGGTTTTGTGCAGGCACATTACATTGTATGTTCTTTGGATGTGCTGGGTTAGATACAGCTAGTCTGGCCTCCTTTAAGGCCACAGCAAGTAATTTTTATGGATAACATTAGCGCGCGCATGAATTTTCGCCTGATTTTGGAGAGAAAAAAACAAGAAATTTTGTTGCCTTCTGACATTGATCAACATGCCGAAAATGGGCAAAGATGTCTGTTGCCATGCCCGAACTTGGTGGACGTCAGATAACTATGAAGACAGGAGACAAGAAAAGGATCTGATTTAATGTTTTGTTTCTTACATTGATGGAGTGATATGTGATGCTGGCTGTGTATATGTGATATTCCTACTGAATCATAACCATAATGATTGAGTCAAAATTTAAAAATGTAGGAACCTTGTCTTTTTTGGCCCGCCTTGTTTTTTTTTCGCCCACTCGCATTAGATTTGGAGTCTGCAGAGGATGTCATCCATAAAATTTACTTGCGGTGGCCTAATTGTGTACAATTACACTCATTGGATCTTTGAATATAATGTGTCAGTGAGATCTCAGCACAAACATAATTGTAAGTGGCTATCACAAGTTCTGTGTGCCTTCAAACTTGGTGGAAAAGACCACTGACATTTCTGGTCAAAAGGTGATCCATCAGTGACTATGCCAAAGTTGTGTCCAAAAGATTTATCACCTTAGATATATGATTAGGTACACCACTTCGTGGACATACATGTATTGCCTTCTCTCATGTTTCTCCTCCTCCTTCTTCTTCTCCTCCTGCCATTTCTTAAATGGGATTCAACTCTGCCATTTTTCAGCCAATTGACCTGAAATTTGGCATGGAGGTAGAGAGTGCAAATACTCCCAGACTTTTCTTCATTTATTTAAAACAAGCCTTTGAAATTGTTTCATTTGTTTGTTTTTTATGACCTGAAATTTGGCATGGGAGATCCTTGGATACAATCCCACATAACTTTATTTACGTTTTTGGCATGTGTAACTTTAAAATTATGTGAAATGGGATTTTTTTGCTATTTTTGACCAAAAATGTACATTTTTGGCTCCTATAACGTTATGCTAATACAAAAACCAAATGACCTGAGATTCAGCTTAAAGGTAGCTTTGCACCAAATGCTTAGACTTTTGTGATCACTATTCAGATTCAGCCCTTTGAAATACTTTTATTTACCTTATTAGGCCACACCGTCTTAATTTTATGGATGACATTCTCTGAACACCCGAAATCTAGTGCGCGCGGGCAAATAAAAAGAATTTAAAAAATAAGAAATAAAAATGCTACTAAAGCACAGGAATACAAAGCTGGTATTGTGAATTTGCAGCAGTACATAGCGACGTATACAACAATGTATTTTGCGGAATTTATGAATTGGCACAAGTTCTTGCCGTTGTTCGATAGCGTTACAACCGGCTCTGTATTGTCACTAACTACCATGGACTAGAGTCCTAGTCTAGAGGCCTAGAGCCTCAGAGGACGTGATCTTTTTTTTTGAGAACAGTCGAAAATCAATGCGCGCGCGGATGTCATCCGTAAAATTAAGTCGGTGTGGCCTTATTTTGAGTAAAAACAGCGATTGTACATAGCTTGAAAACACGCATCCCAAAATGACAGTTCTAAATGGAACACTTGTGTTTTGCCAGGGTTCTACATTGTACATGTTCCATCAGCAGAAGACGTTGGAAGATTCCATTGCTGCATGGGGGTATAGACTATTGGAACACTTCATATTTTGGACAGGGTTCATTTAGGAACAGTCAGTTTGCGTGGGAGGGAGAGGGTCTATTTTTGCTATGTGGTGAAACCATCTGCTGCATTTACTTTGGTCAAAAATTATTGTGATCCATAATTGACTATGCTGACATTGTGTAGCAATCATTTTTTTACAATAAACATTAAAAGAATATCATAATTCCGCATTTCTGACCAAAAGTTATTGTGATCCGTCGGTGACTACGCCAAAGTTGTGTCAAAAAGATTTATCACTTTAGATAGATGATAATTATAGATATTATTCTGTGAAGGGGGCACTTCTGCATATGGGTACCATGCAGAACTGCCCCATGCAGAAGTGTCCCCCACCGAACTTGGCTGAAAAGTCCTCATTTCTATTCAAAAATTATTGTGATCCATCAGTGACTATGCCGACGTTGTGTCAAAAAGATTTATCACTTTGGATATATGATATAGATATCATTCCGTGAAGGGGGCACTTATGCATATGAGTACCATGTAGAACTGGCCCATGCAGAAGTGTCCACCCCACCGAACTTGGTGGAAAAGTCTACATTTCTAGTCAAAAATTATAATTGTGATCCATCGGTGACTATGCCAATGTTATGTGAAGAACATTTATCACTTTAGATATATGATTATAGATATTAGTCCGTGAAGGGGACACTTAAGGGACTGCATTTCTGGTAAAAATTATTGTGATCCATCGGGGACTATGCCAATGTTGTGTAACAATCATTTGCTACAATAAATATTTAAAGTATAGCTTCATTCCATAGCTAGGGGGCATGGCAGATTGTTGCATTTTAAGGTCTCGGACCGGAGTTTTTTTCACGATTTTGGATCCGGCGGACACCCTCAGACCGAAGGGCTATAACTCCGCCAAAAAAAGTACGCCGGGAAATCTCATTACATCAGTCAACGGAGGTTTCCAGCCGGCTTCCGATACAATTTTGGTTATTGTCCGTCGACTCTATAATTTGGGTAGAAACTGTAGTTAAACGTAAATTTTCGATACGAAAAATGTAGTTTTTTTGCAGTTTTTTCAACGGACCTGCTTGGAAGAAACGAATTTTCCCAGGCTAACGGCTTATATGCTGAAATAGCTTACTACTTACTGTTTCTGAAAAACAGAAAAAAAATATACGTTAATGCGATAAGTTTTTCGCAAAATCCGGTGACGCGAACCCCTAGAAATTCCACATAGAACGCAGCTATTTGGGTCATCAGGCGACAAACCGCATCACCCTTGCTCGCGGACTAATACCAAAAACGCTTCGCTGGCCATCCAACTTCACCGCGCCGAAAAACACTACAATCCCAAGGCTTTTTGATCAATTCAAAACCTAGTTGAAAATCTACAGCGATCGCCAAGCTATGGGGAGCCAAACCTAGCGTGACAACCTCGCAGATCCGGCGATTTACTGCGCACTATTTGGAACCCTGGTCAGAATTAAACTCCGACCCGGAACCTTAAGGAGATTATTTTTCATAAAAAATTATCATAATTCTTCAGAAACATCACATCTATCATATATCCAAATTTTACATGTCTGCGATGAGTACTTTTCCCGCGGCAGAGGTTTAAAGTCATGTGAAAAATGCAGTGTTCTAAGGCTATATTGCCAAGTCTCGGGTTCCAGGCAGCGTCACAATGGAGCAATTAGAAAAAGACCGTTATTTCAAACATCGCTTTTCTCAAAACAGTTATAACGGAAATAAAAGTCTGCTCTGGATCTTGGCTATGGATATATGTGTTCTTTTCGTGATTTCGGTGCCGCATACTTGCAGAAAACGTTCTTAACAGTTGGTATCGAAGACGTCACGCAGTGACGTCATCGGGTCCCCTGGGAAAACAGCATGGGGTCGCGTTTTAGGTTCGTCGCTTTAAAGTAAAAGGAAGAATTCGTCAGATTTCGACCTTGAATGATAGACCAGGGTTCGCACTTTCCGAATCAAACGCGTCCGACACCAAACTCTTCACTATTTCGCCGTGAATGGCCTATTAAGTAGCAAAGCGCTCCTTAAATGTGTGAAAGGCTGCATTATTACGAGGTGCAAAACACAATCTGGGTGATATTGCCATGGCTAGGAGCAAGAAGTTGAAATAAACGCTGTAAAGATGTGAGGAGTACCTATTAGGCTATCACTTAACACCACCCAAAGGAAAGAAAGTCGCGAATTTAAGGAGCCCTGAACCGAACATCAGAAAACCCAGTTTTGCCTTAAGAAGGCTTAAAACACTTTGATTTTGCTGTTAAATGTCAGTTTAAGTCACCATAAATAGAGAAACTTCGCCGAAATTATACGAAAGTCAAATTCAGAGGTCGACTCATATAAAATGACATAGAAAGTGAATTCATGCAAGAACTGTTTACCTTCCAGAAACGATTAAAATTGCCCTGACGGGGATTTCGGG